TGGATGTCCGAAAAATTGAAATTTATTTTATATCTTTGTTCAAAAAAGACCTATCAGATCGCGCTAAAAACCGAGAAAACTGAATTTTTCCAGCTTTCAAAAAAGCGATGTTGCACTGTTCTCACATGGGCAGGTAACAGGCTTTCAGAAAATTTTCAGCCTTTTAGAAGCCTTGGCTCCCGAGAAATATTGAGTTCAATATAAAATATCTTGGCAAAATGAGCTAAATTCAATATTTCTCGGGAACTAGCGCTTCCAGAAAGCTGGAAATTTACCGATGTTTTTCTGAATACCTGTAGCATACATCTAGTTATGTGAGAACAGTGCAGCATCGCTTTTTTTTAAGCTTGAAAAATTCAGTTTTCTAGGTTTCTAGCACAGAGGCAAACACATTAACGGCATATGTGAATGTCTTATGTGGAGTGTATATGCACGAGCGAGTTTAGGATCTAGTAAGCCTTCTTTGAACAAAGATAGAAAAAGTTTTTGATTTTTCGGGCATCCGGGAATTGTCAGATTTCGGCTTCTGGTTCGTGATGTGCTGAAGCTGGTGTGAGCACATACACGCCGTCTTATAGAGCTTGCTATGCTCTATCGAACGGTATCCTGCATTCTAATCAGAATTGAGAAGTGTGTGACTTATCGCGGTAGAAAACCAAAACTGAAAAAATTTATGAGTCAACCTAATAGTTGCCGGCCGTCGACTTTTACATTCATGTCTCTAGTGTCCGCTTGATGTTCGAGAGCAGTGCTGAAAATTCTTGACGATGTAGTACTGCATTGTCGATGTTCTTGTCCTTCCTTGTAGAACGGTGTGATCTTGGTTGAGAAGTCGTTGTACAGCTCACGTCATCTTGATGTACTGAGTTGGAATATAGCTTGATTGCCCAAAGAATCGATGACAGCCTCAGTCTCAATCGAATCAGTCCCTTCTTCAATACGATGTTGAGACAGAAAGGCATCCTGTGCTCTAGCGAAACTTCGATGAACCTTGTTATCGTGGGTATGTGGTTCATAGTTAAATCTTTTCGGAACCCAGCTTGTTCGCATGGTTGTCCTGTAGTCCTCTTCCGATCTTATTAAGAAGTGCTCGTGTAAGGAGTCTGCCTGTAGAGAACAATTAGACAAGACGATAATTTCTGATGTCACGGGGGTCCTGCTTCTTGTACGGCAACATGGTTTTGCTGGTCTTTCAGTGACTTAAACCTTGCCCTTCTCAGGTACCGTATGATGAGCCATGCCAGAGTTGGTGAATAAGTGGGAGATTTTTCAGGTGTTCTGTTTGATCCAATCGGGCCTTGCTGCTGCACGACTTTTCATTGACATAATGACATGTCGAACCCCTGAAAGAAGAACTGATAGTGCAACATATTCGTCTCCTTGAGATGGCATGCTGGGAGCTGGACGTGACTTGCAAAGAGATTCAAGTAAAAATTGTGAATGACTTTCTTCACCGAACTTCTGGAAGATGTTACGGTTCCATCAGGGCGGTGAAGTGCGGTCATCTTGGTCTTAAAATTGACGACGTTTCGGCGGGCGTTGCGTATGTTTCTCTTAGAGTCCACGGTGTTAACCATTATCTGCGTTCTTCTCTCCTTGAGATCCTCCTTTATCGCTTCTCCGCATTGCTTCGCAAGCTTGATCTAAGTTGGTGATTACCTGCAGCTCGTGCTCGTAGGAGGCAATGGTCTGATCCCGTGTAGAGCTTCGGAACAACACCGACGTCGGTCACGCAGTACCTTCTGTTGACGAAGATGTGGTCGATTTCGTTATGGTACTCTCCGGGCGATTCCCAGGTTTAGGGGAAGAAGGGAAAGAAGGCTTTTGGAACTGTGAGTTTCCATAGATAGTCCTCGTCGTCATGATGAACTCAGACAGTGGCGTAGTAGATCTCCGTCATCCTAGATCAGCTGCGGCGGGCCTCAGTTGACGTTGCGGCGCTTTAGCGCAGTGTCAAGCGAGCCATCGATCGGGATGAGGATCGTGTTTTGTACATGATAAAAACTGCATGTTTTCAAAGAAAAAACAACTCGAGAGATTGTGCAGGTTTGGTCAAGTGGCTAAAGCTAGTGTGATGCACGCGGCAGCTTCGGGGTTCGCGACCTGCAGGTGGCGACGTTTTTGCTATATCGCTGGGGCAATCCTTGATAGCAGCCACTATCAAAAAAAAATCGATGGTGGGCAAGAGTTTTGCTGCGCAAACAGAGGGGCATAATCGAACTTACATTAATTTGGCATTGTTATCCATGAAAAATCGTAATCATTAGGAGATAAAGAAAGAGATTAATTTCTATTTTGAGCATTTTTCGAAAAATGAAGGTTTGGTCGAGGTAACTCAACGAAATAACTAGAAAAACTTAGTGTTTCATTTTTGCTGTGTTCAGCTGTTCATTGATCCTTCCCATCCGTATGCCGCCCTTTTTGTGCAATTTCGGGAACTGTTGTCCGCAGAATTACACCAGCTAACGTAACCCGTAAGTTACTCACGAGCAACTTACGGGATTTTTCTCTGCGTCTTCTTGCAAACACGCTTACGGGATTTTTCTCTGCGTCTTCTTGCAAACACGCTATCTCCGTAAGCCAGGCCGACGGCGACGGCTAGCTTAGGGCAGGCAGCGCAGCTCATTGCGGCAGCTGACCGGCGCCTTGGCTGTCAGCTTATCGTCCATTCTTGATGCACTGCAGCAAAGGGGATCGTCGGATTAGCTTACGGATCTCTTCTGAGGGAGTCAGCGCAGATCATCTGAGCTGAGAGGGGGTTTACTACGGGCCAGTCTCTCCCCTTGTTCGTTTAGTCCATGGGTCCCGATGTGAAGCTTGCAGGCGACTTTCTTGCTCCGATCTGTGCGTTGAAGTCACCGACGATGACCTTGTAGAAGGTGTGCTCCTCTCTGTAGAACTTCTCCAAGTCCATATAAAAGGCCTCGACTTCGTCTTCATTGAAACTTGATGTTAGGGCGTACGTGATGACTGCCAAGACTGGGATCGATTCACATTTTGATGCTTGTAAACGTCGATTCGAGTTGTGAGTTGTTTGAATGGATCAATACTCACGGCCAAACTCGTATTGACAAGGACTTTTACCCAGCCAACTCCTCTGATGTCGCACGTTCCCAAAAACAGTCTCTCTCCAGTACCAAACGTGGCGTTCAGGGGATGGTATCTCCTTGTCTCGGCAGTCCAATGACGTCGTACTTAATGTTCCTTGCTTGCACCATGAGGTCTTCGGTAGATGGGTGCGATGACAGCGTCCTTTTGTAAATACAGATGGTCATTATTGTGTGCCTCGTTTTCAGAAGCCCAAATCGCCCTTCAACCCTTGTCCCCACTGGCGCTGCCTTACCAGTGGCTCTTCCAAAATTAAGTGAGCATTTGATATATCGCTGTGTTGAACGATTTTATTACTTGCAAGAGCAGCTAGCTCGGCTTAATTCTCCCGGTGGGAGATCACTTGTTAAAGGCGACTCCAAGCCCGCCTCTTTCACACCTACCAGGAGTATAGGTTTCAGGTTTTGATGGAGGCAGGTAGTCCCTCATCCTGCTCCGCTTGCTTATCAGAGTAGGCGCGGGGTATCCTTTAGTCGGCGATTAGCTCCTATTCGCCACCACGGGACGCGCCGAAGCCTTGCGACTATCCGGCTGGAGTCTCCTCTATGAGGGAGATCCACTAGCTCTAGCCAGTAAAAACAAAGCTTCGTAAGCAGAGATCATAATTTAATCCTCTTAAATGTTGGTGGTGTAGATTTGTGTCGATTTTTTTTCAAATTTCTTTATCATGATAAAAACCGCAGCTTTAAAAATGTTTAAAAATCTGTTTACTTGATTTGCAACTCAACTGAAGCCTGGATAACTGTAAATTTTTGTGTAAAAATAAGGCAGGCGCCGCATTACATAAGGTGCTACTTAAGCGCTTGCGTGCTCGCTTTACACTCTCCGAGTATTGCGACCTGGTGTCCAGGTGTTATAGTGATTTGTTGAGTACTCAACAAAATGACATAATGAGCTATTTGTTTCTAGTCTTTTCAGTGTAAAAATAACAGATCGTTTTACTGATTTCGTTTACCTAATTGTTTTCAGTTGTCTTAACTTCCCCATGGAAATAAGTTTTCAGCTGCAGTTTTGATTTTTGTAGTGTCTAGAGCTTTTATACTAGGACTACAAAACCTATTTTCTTAAGATGTATTGAAACGTCGTTTAGGAAAAAACACAAAAAAATTTTAGTCAACACCCAAGAAAAATCTTAGAATGATTTCTGGATTTTCAGAACTTAATGAACTAGAGATTTAGAAAAAGGAGATGTGACACGCGAGTCCAGAACTTTTAAAAGTTAGATAGGTTTGTAAAAGATTGAGAAGATTATCATTCATTCTATGACTGGAAGACGCGTGACCGCATTGTACACATTGTCTAAACAAGATTAATCGTGTACTTAGCAGATTTATACTTGTCATTTATCTCGTCCAGGTTTACTCACTCTTCGCGAACAGGGAAGAACGAACACAAACATGTTAGGACAATGTCCGCAATGCGGTCACGCGTCTTCTAGTCATAGAATAGACTATAGTAGTAATAAAAAGTAACTACCGCAAATCCTCATCACACCCAATTTCTCCCCTTCCCTCAGTGTTTTAGTGTATACGATAGCGAGGAGGCAGAGACTTTAGGCAACTGCTCGTGAGCGTCCTTGTCCAACTCCATTGCAGTATACCATTAACTTTGGACAAATGAAATTCCTGATTAGCCAAAGCTACTTTCATTTACGGCAAAGGCCTAAAATCCTCAGCGAGAGAATTCCATTTCCATTTACATAACCTTTTTAGAGTATATTGTAGTTGATAAAGCTAACATGTATCTATTAAATCTTCAACGAAGTGTGGCTAGATTTGCTCGCACCCCAATAGATGTCCATCTTTGTCACTTTTTCAGGATTCCATGTGATGAGATTTGCATGACTAATTTTTGTGCATTCGATTGTTTCAGACAAAATCTCTAGCTTCCAGGTGGCATCCTGAATCTCTCTGCAATTGTGAAGTCTCGTCTGCAGTTGAGCAAAATGCTTGCAGCAAAGAGCTCAACAACCTACGAAATAAGCTTTGCAAACTTTACTCAGCACTACAAATATATATTGTTGCCGAGCTCTTCATCCTTATCTTCATGTCTCAAAAACGGCGGACGGTGAGTATTCTATCAATATTCTTTCTTTTTTGTTGCTGATACATTTTAAATGACAATGCAAGCTTGTCCATTGTCATAATTATGTGATGTAAAGTTCAAGCAACTTTTAGTTGAGCCGTTATTTAGTTAGGGAACTTCGGGAGCCTCCAGACCACGCCGGTTGTCGCTTTTGCATGCTTTCCGCGCCGGTTGTCGCTATTGCAGCTGAAACGCTCCGGGTCAGATTTTGCTCGTGAAGCGCGTAGAGGAGGGGAACGTTTGCACTACCGCGATACTTGCAGGGTTTATTGGTTCTTTTGTAGATATTCTTTCGTTTGAAGATTTATTATGTTATAGTAAACGATTGCGTAGATATGGATTTGATCTAAATTTTGGCTTTTGCTCTTCTACCATGCTAATAATCGAATCACTGTCAAGAAAGTCCTTTTGATCTGCCTCCTGCTGCGGAGCATCTGTCATATATCTATGCCGAAGTAAGTGAACTAATGCTAAGGAAGTTTTCATTTACTCATTTCCATTCTACTCCCTTGTGTTGTTGATAGATTTCGTAGGAAAAACGAGGTTTTGTATCGTATCGTTGTCGCAGTAAGGTTCCTTTTGAACTATCTTCTGCTGCGGAGATATTCTTTTATTCAGGTGAGTGAGCTAATGCTAAAACGAAATTCTTCATCTTGTTTTTATTTTCGGGCTATTTGTGCTAGTTGACCTATTTTGTAAGGATTTTGACTTTGTTAAATGCTATTATATACTCTTTTAAACGATGTTCTTTTTTTTCAGCTTTCGTTTTCATGATATCGCTATGCTGGGTGTAATATCATAGTAGTGTGCGTTTCCTTCATACTTTTTTTTGAAGCTTTCTACTATATTGTAGGAACATGTCGTTGTCGAACAAGTTTCCGGTGCACTATGGTTTTTGTTCCACTTTAGTAAAGCAAAGTACATGAATGAGATCAAAGGTAGTAGAGTAAATTGAACTGTTCACAACGAATTTCCTATAGCATAGTGGAAGGCTTCAAAAACAGATATTATTAATACTAAAAAAAAGCATAACGACTTGCTCAGCCTACATGGTACGATTGCAAAATAAGCCATAGTAGACCAGCCTTGAGACGGAAAAGAATAAAAGGGCTTACTTTGCAATCGTATCGCTTACCGAGTATAGCAAACCGTCAGAACTGAAACTGATTGAGAAAAAAACTACTGCAAAGCCGTAGCTCACAAGACAGGAGCACAACTTCGATAAATCAAATAAAACCTCGTTTTTCCACGAAATATATCAACTAGCACAAGGGAGTAGAATGGAAATGAATAGATGACGAAACTTCCTTAGCATTAGTTCACTCATCGACATAGATAAATGACAGATGCTGCGCAGCAGAAGACACATCAGAATTACTTTCTGACAGTGATTTGATTATTCAGCATGGTAGATGAGCAAAAACTAAAAGCCAGATCAAATCCACATCTACGCAATCGTTTACTATAACATAATAAATCTTTAAACGAAAGAATAGCTGCAAAAGAACCAATAAACCCTGCAAGTATCGCGTTATTGCAAATGCCCTCCCCCCTCTACGCGCTTTACGGGCAAAATCTGACCCGGAGCGCTTCACTTGCAATAGCGGCAACCGGCGGGAAAGCAGCTAGCGGCTGCAAAAGCGACAACCGGCGTGGTCTGGAGGCTCCCTTCCACAGGTTGCCGGAACGGTTGACGAGGTTGCTGGGTTGCCGGCTTTGCCGGGGTCAGAAGCAGCTTAGAGAGCGCGCGAAACGTGGAGGCTATCAGGAGGTCCTACTATGACCGGGAACGCCGGCAATTCCGACAACCCTAGCAACCTCGGCAACTGTTGCCGGAAACCTATGGCCTTCCCTTATGGTGGAATCAAGCAATTTCTAAGACGTACAGGAATTAGGGTAGAGCTTACTAAACATACATGTATCTACCCTCAAATTAACACATTGACGCAACGTGCATTTTTAGTTTTTTGCGCAGGGGACATTGCCTTCCACGGATAAGTCAGAATTTTTAAGGTGAAGTCATGCAGATGGTCAACTACAGTATACCTACAGTAATTCCATGAAGGGGCGAGAAACGCATAAGAGAACTTTTGAGAAGAATTTACTCTAAGACAGCAGTCGTTTTCACAAAATCTAAGCCATGACCCGTCATGTGAGTCACATTGTTTCAACTGGCATTTGTTGCATGACCCACCATGTGGGTCACGTTCGCCAACGTGTTAAGCACACTTGCTGCAGAAACGGTAACTACACGACTAACCTCTAGGGTAACCTTTTGAAAGCGAGCAGAATTCTGTTATCTCAAACGTTTCGTGTCAAACAGATTTCTCATGACAAACAATTCACTTGGCTTTAATTATCCCCAACAGTAAATTATCGCAAGCAGTCCCTTCCTTAAAGGAAGGGACTGCACTTCTTCTCTAAGCTTTTTTTCATTTTCAGAATTATTTTTTTCTGCTTTGAGCGCAATTTTTCATTTCCGCCAGTCTAAGAAGAACTTAATGATTGTTGGGGATATGTGTATATGAGTAGCTTATTGAAGGTTGTTGGTCTTGCAGCGAATGGGATCGGTGAGGAGCGATGGACATTTACAGAGGATGAGTAAAAGAGTGGGATAGGGAAGGGGTGGGCAGAGAGATTATTGGGGATATGTGTATATGAATAGCACATGCCTCAGTAGCGATGGACAGTAGTGACGGGGTTACTGTGTTTGGAAAGATGAATGGGGGACAGGCGACATTTGCTTGACTGTCAATTGACTGCATCGAAACCGGACCAAACAAGCACATGCATTTTTTTCTGACTTGTGCCTCGGCCCCGCAAAAACAACATTCCCCTTGCTTCTCAATTACAAAATCATATAACATGTCCCTGGGCCACATATGGTATGCCATGTATTAGGTAGTTCTATAAGAACTCAACGTTTTATGAACCAACAAAGTCATCAATTTTCAGTAAAATCAATCTAAATTATATTCCTCGTTATAGCGCACGACCCTTTGGCACATTCTTATTAGCTTCTCAGTCTAAGTTCTTCAACGGTAGCGCGCGGGTCTCAAGAAAGTCATCGAACCAGCGCTCAAACTACTTACTCAAATCGATACATGCACCATTTATGAGGTTTGCTAGAGAGAAATGATAATCTGATAGAAATTTGGGGAGTACTTTTGGTACTGAATTACCTTCCAGTTAAATCGTGCAGAATAGTTCTGATGACATTTGCCGTAGGAGGCCATGTTTCGCCTGCAGAAGAACTTACTGGATCTGTTTGTTAGGCTTTTTCCGCGATAGGACCTGGTTAGGCGAAACATTAGGATTGCTTACGGTATGGTTGACCATCGCCTACTTGCACAGTAATTTTCAGTGCAGAACGTCCTGTCTGTTCCCGAAAAGTCTTGTTCAGGGACACCCTCTCTGATAATCGCCGGGGGCAGGCGGTCCGCTTCGCGCTTTTCTGCAGGCGGTCAGAAGAATTTTGGGACCTGGCCAAGCCTTCAGCCGACGTCCATTTACTGTCGTATATTCTGCCAATGGGCAGCAATACAGCATTTTCTTTCTGCATTTTCTACATACGGAACCCACATCAACTCAGGCAAAAGTACTGGGGAGCGGCGCGTCAATCAGGGGCTCCCGACCGAGCGCCCTCATTTACCAAGCAAGAGCCCCGCAATCGTAATACCCGGCTACATTCATCGGCTGAGCGCCCATCAAGCCGACTGGGCGGAATACAGTCGAATGATGCCGGGCGACCAGTCCGCAATCGACCCGCGGGAAACCAATGGTGTTCAATTCTGCTGAAAAGCCAAAATTTCACACCTTGACACGTGCCAAAATCTGGCTTATCAGTGCGAAGCGCCAGGAGGATCGCATCAGCTACATTATCGCGAGATAAATGGAACTGAGAGAAAACAATTTTTTGGGAGAACATAAAAAACAAGAACAGCGAGTTGAGCATCAAATTTTCAGATAATATACCTTTATTTGTGAAACTTGATTATGCATGAAGTTTTTCGTAAAACCTTATCAATAAGCCAGCTTCTGCAAGCTGTTCAACTTCTAACGTTGAGTGTTCAAAAAGCTCTGCATAAACCGATAAACCCTCACCTTTTACTTTTCATGCGTTTCAAACTCAACCGAAGTTTTTACTTTTGTTGCATGTTTACGATGACTAAGCGAGTTTAGGACCTACTTTCCTTTCTTTTACTAAATTGGTAAGTTACTCTGTATATCCAAATCTCTCAATTATCTTGTCACAAAACCGCAGTTGAAGAAGCGGCTCATGATATACATCGTTTAGATAGGTTGAAGGTTGCAAGCCTCGGAAAGACAGGAGAGGAGAGGGCGGAAATGTTCGATAGATGGCACATGTGAGGTTTGCGTAAGGCATCGTTCAAACCGCTCCGCTACCGCCCGAATCCGCCTGAACGTCCGAATCCGTCCAAACCCCCTGAGACGCCGGAACTGCCAAAGCACAGGAGGGCAAATCGGCACATTGTAGCATGCGTGAAATACTGCTCGTGATGCATACATCACATCTTACAAGCAAAGGATACTCGGTCACCGCCGCCATTTGAAATGATATGCACACCGTAAGATGCATTTTGAAACGCTGATTCTAAATCTGCGCTCGATATCTGCGAAACAAGTTTCTGAAGGAAGTTATGAACTTTTTTCTCAGAAAATTCGCATACTTTTGGTATTTGATACCATCGAATTTGGTCTAGTTTACCATTTGATGCCCTTAGAGGAAATCTTAGGAAAGATACTGTATTACTTAATGACTGTCTAAGTAGTAATATCCAGTAGTTGAAAAGGTCAGAAAATTTTCTATTGAAGATTTTAACCTTCCGCAGTAGCGGCAATTCATTCTCAAAAAAAAAAAGAAAATCATAACTCCATCCATTTTATCGTTTCGCAGGTATGGAAGACAGTTTTTGAACCAGCATTCAAAGGCGCGTTTTTTGATAGCTCATTATGAATGGCCAAGGTCATCAAGTATCTTTCCCTTGTTAGTCATTTTAGCTTAGTATCTTATGGTCACGTAACTCGACGTAACATGTCAATTTTTATTTGTAAATACTCGGGTATTGTAAGGATCAATCGACTTTGCGTCTCTCCTGGTATTTCGTCTTATGTTGGCTGATTTCAGGTGAAATTTATGTCTGTTTGCATGCATATCTCCTGCTTTGGCGACTCTCAGACGTCGGACGATTTCGGAAGGATTCAAGCAAATTCATGCGTATTTGAAGGATTCTGCTACTACGGACGTACTCGGACGAACTCGGGCGGATTCGGGCGTATACGGAGGAAATCGGGCAGGTTTAGACGGGTACCGGTCTGAAAGATGCCTAAGCGGCAGCTCGAAGCTCTGCAAGTGGCTTTGTGAGTAATGAATTTCCTAGCGCTACAGCTCATCAAACATTTGTTTGAAAAAGGTATTCGCGTCTGTGCATATAACGTTGATAATAAATGGTGACTATACAATGTAACCTTTGATCAAAAGTTTTTTGCTATCATACATGATTTTCAGAGAAGGAAAAATCGAGTACGACCGAATGATGAGTGCTGATGATTCAGAGGTCCATGTAAAAAAACCGGTATGCGCTGTTGTGGTAAAGGCTGAGGAAGTGAAGGAATTTTGAGTGTTGCATCTTTATTCAATAGCTTTTTGAACAGCAAAAGAGCTGAGCTTGTTGATTTTTAGTAAATATATTTACAAAATTCAGTTTGTTCTGTTGTGCATGTAAATAATCATGTGCGAATGTCTCATAGTTATTGTCTTTGATAAGTGCCATCTTACAATTATGACTAAGATAACTTATAAGAATGATTTTAGGCAAATTCTATTAGGTCGCTCTAAAAGTAATTTCGCTTTTTTCAAACTAGCGGAACATGTGATGGAACAAAGATCTCCAAGAGGTCTTGGTAGCATTCGATATTGTGGAATTATTCCAACATAGTCAATAAGCTTTCAGAAAATGACCAAAGTCTGCGACCCATGCTTTTTGAAATGGTCAATTTTCACAATTTTTCTAAGCTTATAGATCAACCCCCGAAAAAGTACAAGTAACCTCTTTATAGAGCAAATCCTACAAAATGCAAATCAACTTTTTTCTCCTTTCCATGGCTTGTCATATATTTTTAACAGAATTTTAATTGATGCTACCAATTTCCATACTTGAGCAGCTAAATCTTCGTAGAACATCAAAGGAAGAGCAGCTCGAGTACTATTCGATGCAGCATTCCTCTTTCTAACGGGTGCTTTTTATTTCCGAGTTTAGTTTCCAGGGATAAAATCACCATAACTCATTTTTTAGCGAATCCCAGGCTATACCCGAAAAACTCGAAATTTGATATTTCGAACCCGTAAACTTTCACTTGCTTTGTAAAATTAGTGCTAATTCATCTTGATATTCTCGAATTTCTGATAATTATGATGTTTGATACGATTGTGGCTGATGTAGGTCTGCTAAAATCCGATGGTTTCGTTGAAAAATCTTTTGAAAAATTACAGCGAGCTATAGAAAAGAGAAAAAGTTGCACTGTATTCGGTAATGTTTCCTCTATCAAACCGTTACTTGAGCTCGTTTTGAGGATTGATATGAAAGTTTCAAAAATGTGAAAATTGGCTATCTCAAAAAGCATAGGTCGCAGATTTTGATTATTTTCTGAAAGCTCATTAATTGCACTGCAACAATTTCTTAACCCTTAAGAGAATAAAATGCTGCATCGAATGCTACTCTCCGAAATCTTTGTTACATCACATGTGGCGCCCGTTTGAAAAAAGCGAAATTACTTTTGGAATGACCTAATATAACAAAAATCGCGCAAACAACCACAGAGAGTGGGCGACTTCCAGATCGATCGAGCCAACCGCAAAGACCTTGCGAGCATCCATATACCGCACACAAAGACGGAGCAAACGGGCATGTATTGCTGTTGGGTGGGAAATAACGGGTGAACCTTGCCAATACTGGCCGGGCACGTTCGCGCCCATCGATGGCCCGGAAAAGTGAAAAGCGCTTGAACGGTATTTGTGGCCTGTCCGGTACTTTTGTCTGAGGAAATGTCATTGCAAGAGTTGGCAGAGCGTCGCGCATACACGGGCGCGCATCGCATAGTCCCAATCTTAAGGTTTCAAACATCAAACTTGCCATACTTCAACAACCCCAAATCAATAAATAAGAAAATACTTTTAGAGTGGTATAAATTGCTTGAGCACACTTTAAGAAGGAAGCTGCAAGTTCAAACAAAAGCAACAAGTTCAAATCTCATTGGTACTTATGATAGAGGATAATGTCAGCAAACCTATTCTTGCTGTCAAAGAGTTCGAAGCTGATAGTGGCGTTTAACGAAAAGCATCCTAGTTTCAAAGGCGCTAAACAAACTGTATCTAGTTGCAGCTTTTTTCATCAAATGGAGTGGATGTTAGCGTTTATAGCTCATGAAACTTTTTGCAGCAGCCCTCTAATGATCGCCACTGTTTTATCCACTGCAAGTCATACCGAGGAGCGCCAAGTTATACGTGAAAGCTGGGCATCAGGAAGAGAATCAAAATCTATTAAGGTGAGTCAAATTTTGTTTTAGATTTCCATTCCGGCTGTGCTATAGATTTCAATCCTAGATCAGTGTCTGTAATGTGCACGATTTCCCACCGCAAATCTTATAAAAGAAAAGTTACTCCGCTTTACATCTGCTCAGAAAATCGCCAGGGGCAGGCGGCCATGCGAGGGCGGGCACCGGAAAAATAGTTCGCTCATTTCTTGCGGTCCGCTTGCAGATGTTTGAAACAATCTTAGCGAAATCTTAGACGAAAGCTTGGAGAACAGTCGCTGTTTTCTTATAGATTAGCTGCGGCGCAGTAGCCGCATTCTCTCGGACTTTCCGCGAGAATATGCAAAGTTTTTGGGGGCCGCACGGTCCTTCGTGGAGGACCGCGCAGCCCCCAGGTACTTTCCGCTTGGGGAAAGTACCTCAAACTTGAGTAATTAAACCAACGTGACACCTCTGTCACACAGAGTCTTACCTGTGTTTGGCGTATGCCTGAAACTGCTTAAAAAGTGTCCGAGCACTCACTGAAAGTTTGGCCAGCGCTCGCTGAAAGAAATTATTTGCCGAGCGCTTGCAGAAAATGCTGTATTGCTGCCCCCTGGCAGATTATGCGACCGTAAAGGAAGTGCCTCCTGCTGAAGGTTTGGCCATGCCCCAAAATTCTGTTGACCGCTTGCAGAAAAGCGCGAGTTTGCGGACCGCCTGCCCCGGCGATTATCTGAGCCGGTTAACATCTCAGATAATCGCCGGGGACAGGCGGCCATGCGATTTTTGGGCAAGCGGTCACCGAAAAAATAGTTCGCTGATTTCTTGCGGTCCGCTTGCAGATATTTGGAGGAGTTTTAGACGAATGCTTGGAGAATAATCGCGGTTTCCTTGCAGATTAGCTGCGGCGCAGGCATTCTCGCGGACTTTGCGCGAGAACATGCAAAAATTTTGGGGGCCGCACGGTCCTTCGTGGGGACCGCACAGCCCCCAGGTAATTTCCGCTGAGAGAAAGTATCTCAAACTTGAGTAATTAAACCATCGATGACACCTCGGCCATGTAGAGTCTCACCTTTGCTCGGCGTACGCCCGAAACTGCTTAAAAACCGTCCGAGCGCCAGCTGAAAATTTGACCAGCGCTCGCTGAAAGAGATTATTTGACGAGCGCCTGCAGAAAATTCTGTATTGCTGCCCGCTGGCAGAACATTAGACAGTAAAGGAAGTGCCGCCCGCTGAAGGTTTGGCCACGCCCCAAAATTCTGCTGACCGCCTGCAGAAAAACGCGAGTTTGCGGACCGCCTGCCCCCGGCGATTGTCTGAGATATTTGCCTATCCAGTACATCCCGAAGAACGCCGGATGAAGGTTCCGCGGCATCTTAGGTTGTAGTAATCCCCCGTCGTGATGGTCGCGATGTTGGAAACATCGCACGTATCTAGTACTTGTCGTTTCGGCCGCGATTCGTCGCGTGCCTATCGCTTATCACTGCAGCGCGGCGAAATCGCTGACGTCGCGACTGCAGGATGTGCTCGTCTTCGCGCGCAAAGGACAAGCACGTCGTGAACGTCGTCACTCAAGAGGCAGAGAAATAAAAATAGTGTGCCAGGCGTGAAGACGCAGGAAGGTGCAACCGACTAAGGGTCAAGCATGCCGTGTTCGTCCTGTGCGCAAGGATCGTAGACACACAGCACTAGTTTCAACGCACGCCAAATGTGATCGATATGAACAGTTGATAAGCGCCCAAATGTCAACGCGCTGAGCTCAATCTGTTTTCTAAGCACATCTGCTGCTATAATCTTTGCAATTGGAAAATATGAGTTTATTTTGACAAACTACTTCGGGATTCTACGTAACCGTATCTTATCGTGTTTGAGCATTTTTTTCTTTTTATTCTTACATCGCAACTCATTTGCGCACCAAACCACTTTTGCATGTTTTTAATCCCCTTATTTCTTCCATCTTAGCAGCTTATAAACGTATATCTTCTGAATTGCAGCTCATTAGCTGTGCGCTCAGCGTTTCTCTTTCAGTTTGAGGGAAAGAACCGTTTGGCGTTATGGCTAATGAAATAGCTCATGTCTGCATTAACCGAAGTAGTGACTGTTTTACAACATTCCAATTTGTCTTGTGTACTGTCAATGTTTCATGCTTTGCATTGCGATTTTTCTCCCACTACTCGAAAATTTAGCGGTGTCTGTCCATTCACTCAATTTAGCTAGTCAGCAACTTGCAAAACATAGGTGCCCAAGGTACTTGTACCTACCACCATTAAGGCACCGTCCACTCTAGTTGAGGGTGTTAAGCTTTTGGCAGCATATAATAGTGAGGCCCCCTATCAATCCAATGCCCAAGTCGCGGCGTGAAGTGCCGCTTTAGAAACGAGAAAATCGCTTCGGATTAGTGAAGATGCACGAGCACTCCCATCCATGCCCGCTCATTTGTGCGCGCCCGTCCAATCACCGTTCCGGAAAACCGGCCTGTGGGATCACCGAAACGGGGATTGTCGAGGTTTTCCATTCCCGACTTCATATTCGGAATCAGAGACATGAGAAGGCCCTGAAACGACAAAAACGTGGAAGTCGAAAATCTGGGTGGACGGTGCCTTCAACTCGGTAGCGTCCGGCACTGGCACTGCGCTATTGGCAGCTGTTGTGAGAGACTCGCCAGCTCATCATCGTGACAGTGAACATCACGGAGGCAGTGTATAAGTTCACAATTTTATAAAGGTTACACAGGCCAAAATCAAATCTTGCCGATTTGCTCTTTAGCAATCGTAAGCGACTGTTCTATCTGTCGCATCTTTGCCTCGCTATATTCCGCTATGAATTTTCGATTTTGAGAAGGTATCAATAGCGCAGTTTCGGGCCGCATATTCTAAGGATAAAGGATTCGGCGTCTTCCGTCTTGCGTTCTGCGTGCCCGCAGTCCCCTCTGCGGGCATACTGCGAACGCACACTACTTCATAGTCGAAGAGGAAATTACATTGCGTGCGATCCTATTACAGTGACTTGCGGGGGCTATCCGTTTACCAAATCAGTGCTTTACTTTTTTGCCGCGTATTATCAGCAATGAATTAGTCCATTCAATGTTTTCGCATCAAACTTAGACTCTTTTATTGCTGCTTATGTACCTGCCCTTCTGCTAACGCTCAATTTCATCAAACGGTACTGTGGCATGTTCGAAGCAAAACATTGCCTAGTATATTACAAGGGGTACACGGCTCACCAATTTCGATATGACATTTACCAGTCTCTCACCTATTTCTACGTATCAGTCCCTTGCCGCGCTGTAATCAGCATGCTTACATACTCGCTCTCAGTACTAACTCTCGATGGCCTTGCTTAGGGTAGAGGACAGTAGGGGCCGAAAAAGAGGGCCCAGCGTGCACGCAACAAATGCCTTCCCCAGCTGGTGTAGCAATCCGGGGGGGGGGGAGGGGGGGAGCGTACTGGCGACTTTGTGCTCTACTTTTTTGCTTAGAGGCAGTGTCCAGGCAAATTGGTCATGTGGGTTTTTGCCTCAAAACTGTCGAGGAAACTCTATTAAAGGCATTGCCCAAACCGCAGCGCAAATAATTCATTCACGGCTGACAAGGGAGGTCGAATCAGTCGAAGTGGCCTTTCCAAATGGGTCATATACCATTTTGAAGAGCGTTGAACGCTGATTCCGAATCTGCCTTCATTATCTGCCGAGCGCTTCTGGACGTCGAGTTATAAAATTTTTTTGCAGCGAAAAATGAACTCAGAATTCAAGTAAAATTAACTATTACGGAATTTTCAGCGCCTAGATAGAGCAACATGTGGTGTGAGTGTTTTGGACAGAAGGTATCCTTTGTAATGGAGTGCTCTGATAACCAGCTTCGGACCATTTGAGCAATTCTGACGAATTTTGCTCTAATTACGTATTAAATTTTTCAACCAAAGGAACGCTCATAACTCGGCGTCCAGAGGCGCTCGGCAGATAACGAAGACAGATTCGGAATCAGCGTTGCATGCTCTATAAAATAGTATGCATTTCATATGAAAACGCCACTTCGACCAAGTATCCTTCCCTTGTGAGAAATCCATCCACAAACACTCCGCTGCTGCGCCGTGAACGTAACACGTAGGATGGGTCCCAGTGCGAACGTAGTATTAAAGTGAGCGAAGTCGTTTTTGGGTTACTTTCACGGCGGAGGCACGGGGTTTTCAGGGACGGATTTCTCAGCCATGATTGAACAATTTGCGCTGCCCTTTGGGCAGTGCCTTAGTTGGGACCCCCTCATCAATTTCAAGGTGAAAGAGCCATGCGTCCAGATCTGCCTGGACACTGCCTTTAGGGTTTGGATAATCAAAACGCTGGCTAAATTCACAGATGTTTGCTAAATCCGTAATCAACATACTAGTTGCTCTTTCGAATTGAGCCAGAGTGCGCGGGGTATAGGCGTACGCGACGTACGCAGCGTAGGGGGGGGGGGGGGGCGGAAGTTCCTCACCCGGACCATATTCTCGCATTATCTCTATTAGTGATGTGCCTCCCAAGCACATTCGGACCCGCAATAATTACGAGCTCCTCAGGGTACCAAGACATTGCAAGCCCCGCCCCCCTATCCAGTGTCGCTTCAGATAGTGGAATCGATTTCAAATGAAGTGTCGCAATAGAAGTTCATTAGCAAAATTGCTCCAATCAAGACCAAATTCCAAACCAAGGGTTTTTGACGTCGCTCTTATTCAGTAGTGAGGTTTGTTTGTTGCAAAGTCAAGGTTCAGCACCGATAAAACCCAACCAAGATCAAAATTCGCATTTAGAGGTTTCCGAAATTTCATTCTTCATAACAGGACCGACTTCAGTAATAGGTCCTCAAAAGCTCTTTCGATAACGCAATATGTTTTGTGCAATATCAACAGCGATTTGATTTTTTGAACATTTTTTGGAGACGAAATATGTTTATCTCACAAGAGCCGAATAATTTCCCTAGAAATGAAATGCCACATTGAGAATTACTAATATGTTTCCGTAATGGTTTTTTTCCTGAACTCAGCAAATATTTTAA